TTGTATAGGTAATTAGAAGAGCGTTCAAGCTACGCGGACGTTTTGTCTATGCGCGTTTAGAGGTCTAACAAAGCAAATGACCCGAGCACGATTAGTGAATGCGTGCGAAGTTTGAATGTTAGCGACAGTTCTTGGTTCTGGAAAGAAGGCTACAATACTGAACGCAGTGAGCAACAGTACACATCGTGATCCGTTGCTCAGAGGCAAAGGACACCGAGGCCATCAGAGCATGGAAGTCTGCTCGTCGAGCACTTAGACTCGCTAGATCAGAAAGCGGTGTCCACCGTAAGTAGCGGTGAAAGAAGAAAGAAAGAGGTGCACGTGACGCCTATATCACCTCCTGGTTTTCTTCTATGAAACTCGAAACGTTCAGTAATAAGTCACTCGCTTTTTCACCTGAAATCTTTTAACCGTGTAATTAGCCTTCGCCGTTGAGCAAAATATTACTTGGAAGTGAGGGAATTATCTTTGGGTATTCGTGGAATTTGAAATTTCGACAGAAGAGAATTTAGGTTTTCAAGCAGACAATATATTCGACTTACGATAAAATTGTTTCGTTGCTCGCGTATGTTAAATGGACGGTGATAAATTTCATCGATCAATCGCAATACCGAAAGTATCGATACAAAAAATACTCGGTATTGAAATGAAAATATCGATTATATACTCGCATTGGTTCGTCCCTATTCATCTTTAAGACGAGTCACTCGCCTGTAACTAATTATAAAGCAAAAGGCTTGTAAAATTACTTCACGCTTACGATTAGTTCCGTCGCGTGTATCTGAAATTCTATCCCCGTTAAAGCATCTTTAAAAGACTCTACCAGGGTATTGTTGAAGACGATTTCGAAATTGTGAAACACCGAAAGTCGTGATACGAGGTGTACGGGGTCAAGCAGAGCTCGACCCGGTTGGCAAAGTGTTAATTTCGCGTGACGTGCACCGCAGTCAAATGGTTAAACGGTTGACCCCTCGTGCATTCACGTGTTCACGCGGGACGAGCGCGCGTTGAACGTCTTTCGAGCCCAATTTGAATGTGAAAATCGTGGGCCCCTCGTTCATATTCCTTCGCCTCTTTTTCTCCTCCCCCACGGATTCGGAGGTCTCACGTCCCACGGTCTCTGTGCGTCTCTCGTGTTTTTTGGTTCGAACGTGCGTCACATGCGCAACCCACCGATTTTGTAAATGAGACACTTTTGTTGCCGATCGAAGCATAGGCTTTACCGTAACGACCGAAATGGTACCAACCATCCCCTCCCACCCTGTCGGTTAACTGTACCCGTTTCGTGCCCGTTATCACGGACTCGCGATGAACGTGCTCACGCGGGACGAGAAGAACATCACGGTAATTAGCGTGACGGGGTTGTTGGAAAGTGAATATATGCATGGGCCCCATCGAGCGAACTGCGGACGCGATGAAACTGTGTTTAACGATTCTGTTAACTCTTTAGGGTTGGGTGGGTTAAAAACTGTCCCACCTTTTGCTTAGCTTTTTATGCATGCTGGGATATATTTTAAACCACCTCGAAAAGTTGAAGTTACTTACAGTGATACAGCTTAATATTTTATTTTTATATAATTTTTTTTATATTAAACAAAATTCTGTGCAACTAGGGATTTTATTTTCTTTAAAATCGTATGCCTCAAAGAGTTAATGTGCTCGACTGTTTTGTTTTACACTTTGATTGCCACGTCAGTCAAATATCGATGACATGTATATTTCAGAGTATGGATTATTTAAATAGCGTTATAAAATTTTGTGCGTAAAAATAAGACATTGCAGTGTAATTCTTTATTCTCTTTAAAGCAGAGATCGAAAAAGTTATGGAACTTTTTAACGGGTACCATTTAAAACATGGACCATGCAACTTTTGTAAGAAACGTTCTCACATTATAAGTTCCTATGAGAATGGATAAATAAAAATTCTTGGGGATAAAAATTTATTTTGAGTAGGACTTATGAAATATAAGAGTAAACACTTTTCTGTAACAGAAACAGATATTTTGTTCACCAATATTAAAAAAGGTTCTCAATCATTGTAACAAATACGGAATACTATTCAACGAATAGTACTACAACAATATTAAATAATTATATTATTAAATACAATATTAAAAAATTAAATACATAGTGTAATAATATGTATATGTATAGTATTTATATATTGTATTATAGAATTTCTATCTATTTCAATTGTTTCAAGTTAAAACAAATGTTATTTAAGTATTCTTCTTGATAAGTTCTCTTTTCTGTTCAATACTTTTCATGAATCTATTAATTACTTTTGTTGACCTTCATATCTTTTATTAAATAAAGATATGAATAATATGATATTACATTGTTAAATAGAATTACCTAATAGTTTGGTATTTTTATTTATCTTATGGAATCTTTTTTAATAAAGTTTCTAGAATATCTGTTCCATGAGAACACTTTTAGAAGAAGTTCCTAAGGGTATCATTTCTTTCCATAAAAATTCCACGGGAAAGGATACTTTCTTAAGGGAAACATATGAGTTAGAACAGAATTTTGTTAAAAACGATAACTGTTTCTTTCGACCTCTGCTTTAAGGTATAAGTCTTTTTTTCTTTATATCTTTGATAACTAAATATTTTCAGACATATGTACAGGTGACATCTGTGTACCGCTATAGGAATTTCCTTCGTATCACAATGTAAATTATACTCTGGACAAATACATAAATAAAAAAATGAAATTCAAAACAAGAAGAACAGCTTCAGTTAACTGAACGTGTGTATTTCTGATAATTTATGGCTGAAAAAAAAAGGAAATAATATGTGTCTGGCTACGTACGACCTTTTTCACTTAACAGTCAATTATGCTCGGGCATGTTGCCCGCACTATCTCCACTCTTATTCCTAATATCAATTAACCAAAAAAGTAATAAGAAATAATAAATAATAACAAAATAATTAATTCCAAAACTTTTAAAAAAGCGCTGGAAAAATTGGGATTTATGGGACATTTTGTGGTTTACAAATAACGGCAATAGTCAAAGTGGACATAGTTATTGCCCCACCCTGTATATCATCCATCGATGCACTGTGCAAAGAAGACGAAGAATATTTGTGAGCATCAGAACAAAATCATTTGAAAAGGATGACATCCCGCGGAAGGAATTAATTAGGCGCGGCATTGCGGCGAATGCGACACTCCTTGTGGTATGATTAATTTTTTCGCGATGTCGAGAGACGATTACAGTCGCAAGTGATCCTGCAGGTACCGAATAACATTCAAGTATCGAATAGAGTGCTTTATGTCTAAAGTTCTTTCAGGTTTCAATTCTTTCTCTTTTTTGTTCTTCTCACGATGAAGTTCACGAATCACCAGAAAAACAATTTGAAATTCCACGAAATTACAATATAGTATAATCAAATTCGGACGTATAAATTTTATGTCACGAAATGAAATTCTAGGAAACGTTGAAAAACTTAAATAAGTGTATACTATACCTCTACTATATTACATTTAATAAACTGCGGATGTTTATGCATTTATAGCGTCCCCTGATTAGCAAAATACAGAAAAATAAAGATTTCAATAAAATTTAATATTATTCATCCATTACAATTTACACATTATATCCGATACTATAGAAAAGAAATTATTGTGCAATTTTGTTTTTTCTATATTAGTGTAAAAAATTGTAAATTTGCATAAACATTCGCAGTCTAATAATTAAATTATAATGATTTAAAATATATGTCGCAACGTGTGGAATCTGTAGAACATTCTATCAATATTTACTTATCTTTGACGTTTTAGTGCTAAAAAGCAATTTGTGAATATTAACGATCACGCGAACGCGACGATGTAAAACCGATTAAAGTGTACCTCTCGCCTGCGAATCAAAACGCTATTCTGACGACACGGTTCTGAAATGGCGACGAAGGAACAGTTTCCAGGAAATTAATTGATGGTGACGTGGCTCCGGATTCCTCTCATTCTTAGTTTTTAAAGCTTTTAATGAGATTGCCCTTTGGAACCGGGTTCGAATGGATCTCTTTGTGCACACGTGGTTTCTCTAGCTAGAATGTCCACGGGCTTTTACATTTCCATTCTTACGGTGCAAAACGAAAAATGGACAGAAACGTATTTTGTTTTGCAAAAAAGTGTTCAAAAAATGTAAAAAATGTGTAATCAATAGAGATCCTAACATCAGTCCTTTCGATGAAAAATATAGAAGTGCATTTGCATATTTGTTACGGACGTTCAATATGTCTTCCAAAATGGATATCGATCATAGATCAACGTACATTTTCAGATATTCCTTCCGTATCTCGTTATGCCTTGAACCAATATACTTCTAAGACCAGATTCACACTAGCGGTCAAAAGCACGGTCAGATCACGATCAATCTGAATTTAGCCTATATTTCTCTCATTGAATTACGTGTGAGCAATAAAGACTTTTGGCGAATTTGACACGATCTAACCGTACCGTGATCGCTAGTGTGAATCTGGCTTAAATCAATTCTTCTATGTACATTCACTATCTCATAAACGGACTCACGACATCGAATGCTCGTAAGTGCATTACATCGAAAGTGCAGTAAATCATCGATGAGTGTTCGAAGACTTCTCGACACCGAGTGTTCAAACATTATCCCCCACCAATGGGGTATTCCCCGAGGAACCAGTCAAGCTACTGGTGAGAATGATGTCTGAACACTCAGTGCCGAGGAATCTTCGAACACTCATCGATGATTTACTGTATTTATTTCAGGACCTATATCGATTAAACACTTCTTACTCCACTCAGTGAGTACTATAATCCCCTAAAAATCTCAGACTATTTTTTTTTTAACACCCTGTAGTTAAATGAACGATATACAACAGTCTTCGTTCCCCAGTAATCGAGTACTTCGACGTTTCAGCTCGAAGACAGAGTCAATCTTGTTCGGATAGAGGTTCCCGTTCGCGAATTAATCGATCACCGGCCGGTTAATTGGCACGGACAGCCATTCCATCGCAAATTACCTCGCTGTTTCTCGGGCTCGTGTTCGACGATGAAGGCAGGCACCGCGGTGACCATTTGGTAGTCAGCCTCGGCGACGTCCTGCTCCGGATCCTGCTTCGCGGCGAGCAACGCCTGCATCGCGCTCGCGTCACCGCAGCTTCTCCTGGTGTACTTGGTCCTCGAAACCCTGAGCAGGGCGGCTGGGCTGACACCCTGGCAGCTGTCCCGTGACGTGGACGCCCCAGGCGGTTCGTCCAGCGTCGTAGGGCTGGACAACGAAAGGGCAACGTCGTCGGCGCTGTGACGCCTCGACTTCGATAGCCGCTTGAACATCGTTCTGGCTGGAATCAAAGAAATTGCCAGGAATTATTAGCGTTGGAGCAAGAGGCAAATTTATGGCAGAGATATGGTTCATGCGTGAATTTAGGTTACAGACGACTCTAACGCAGAGACCTTTTCAGAGACAGCTAAGGGATTTTTTAGGTCAAACTGTGATATTTAACCCCTTGCACTCCGCTGGGTCAACGCAAGCAAAAATACTTTGTTTATTGCGCAGAAAGTTGTGTTTATTACAATACAAACTAATTAATTTAAATTTTGTATATTTTGTAAATTATTATCAAGGATCTTATACGTTTTAGAAGTGACAGAACGAAGATACTTTGAGGTTTAGACTAGAGTCGTTTATAGTAAAAGAGTCTTGGAGTGCAAAGGGTTAAGCAGATTCTGGAATTGGCCTGGGAAATTTTGCCATTGTTAATACTCAGATACCATACTAGCGCGATTTTACATCAGCGAAACATTGTTTCGTCTGTAACATCCTACCTGGTTAATATAACGGTTTCCTTCCATTACGATAAAAAATTATTTTTCACTTTAACAATTATTACCAATGAATTTCTCAGTAAATTTTACACTGAAGAATATGTTATCGAGTTCAATTTGTTTTTATTCCCTTCAAGTTCTTAATCATAAAAAATTCTAGTGGGATGTTTACGCATGGTGGGGTGTAGTTTCTGAGGGTTAAGACGAATTTACACTTCTACACTTTGAATGTGCATTGCGGAGAATTCATCCACGAATTCATTGAATTCATCAAAAGTAGAGACTGACTCTACTTTGTTCACTGGTCTCTTCAGATGTTCACGTTTGATGAAAGTCAGATAAAAACAATCTTTACACTTGTTAGTGTAGATGAATCATCCACGTTGCACATCCAAAGTGTGAAGTTTTAATTCAGCTTTAGGCACAACGCAGGACACTGTGTCGCTTCTTTGGCCAGGAACGGCGTGCTTAGGGCGAAATGGCCAGGAGGATGGGCCAGTGTCTTCACATTCAATTAAAAAACGGTTCAGTGTAGAGCCGAGTCAGTCACAGTTAGAGTTAAAACATAGTTCATCAGAGAGAATTACAGTTTAGAGACGTCGGTCAAAACGCTCATCTTATAAGAGTACAATTTATTGTAGAAGTGTTCCAACGGTCAGCTTTGAGCTCTAAGTGGACAATTAGGTCCACCTCAGGTGTATGTTTGAGAGCATTCAAGCCTTTCAGCATAGAAACCAAGCGATTAGGCTTGCAAAAGCACTCATGCCCTTCCTGTAAATAATTGTATAATAGTGAATAAATATAGTTGAGTTTATAGTCCCGAAAGTGTGGTACTTCAAGTTGTAAACGGCACTTCCCTGTGCAATACAATATACATATTGTGGTAACCACGAAGTACTTTACCGTGCTCCAACAATTAGTAATGCTTTTTTCTTACAAAATTCAAATATGTTCTAATAAATTAAACCTTTGCATCGGTCGTATTAATTTGAAATCGAATTTATATAATTATCTTCTTTTCATTATTCGAAATAACATTTGCCTAACACGAGAGTAATAAAAATTCATTCGAATAGCACTCAACGCTAATCTGTACCCTACTAGTCAGAATTAATTTATCATAGAACGTACGCTAATTATATCTACGGTCAGATGGTGAAATGTGACGCGTGTGCCTAATTTCCGTCAAAATTCAGATACACTTCCACGTCTGTCTAGATGAAATCTATAAGTTGGCGAAATAAGACATCTCTGTGTCAAAATTTCAAAAACTATCCTGACGCTTGTATAAATAAATCTAAACATGGCCATTTTCAACATGCTTGGTAGAACACTTATCGATTTCTGTTATTAATTAATAAAAAAAAATTGGTTAAAAATTCCTTGCTAATTCGTGAAATTAGAAGCTCTGATACTTGCAACAGCTGTCAATTATATTTACGACCACCCTGTACTCTAGCCCAGCTATATAATTCCAAGATATTACCCGGAATTCTCCGATTCCAGCTTTTTCCGGAATATTCCGCATCGAAAATATTCGACGAACCACGCATTGGGGGAACCGCGACAGACGCGTTATTGTTCTTTCGGATGAATTTCATCGTCCAGGGGCTCTCTCCCCGCTCGGTCGGTGATTTATGTCGAGTTCATTGCTGCTGCTCCCTGTCCCCACCCTTTGGATCCGCAAAAACCGACGAGGTATCGGCTACGTGAACCGTAGGATTGAACGGTAAATCGTACTTGGAAACTTGCGGATCGAACCGCTGCGCACCGGACTCTCTGCTACGTTGTAACGAATACGGAGGAAGGGGGAGGGGGCAGCATCTTCGGTTTCGCGTTTTTCTTGGCCGAGAGGATGGTTTTTAGAGGCAGAGCTAAATTTCAAGGCGCAATCGCGCGATCACCGTTTCTTCCCCCTTGGTGTGCGCGCGCGCGCATTCCGAACCGAAAGAATTTGACCCGCAATCGAAGCACATACGTGACCGTTAGCTCGAATCGGAATGGGACAAAAATCGGACCTGTATTTAGGGTTCTGTCGAGGAGGTTCCTGAGGGCTAATTGTGTTCCTGTTCTTGGAATATAATAAACCGTGGGCTCGAACTCGCGTTTCTTTCGACCTCTCTTCTTGGCGGTTGGGGACTGTTTTTTTTTTCCGATCCGATAATGTGGTCCAATCGTGACCGGTTTTCGTAGTGATACCTCAAATAATGGATATTGATCATTTGAATGGCAACGTGAATTGTTTTCTGATGGGAACCCGAGAATTTCGAGTGTTTATAGGTTTGTAGGGGAGCCTTCATAAAAGTATCAGGCAATTTATCCTGTTTGATAATTTTTGGTTCGTTAGGGTGAAAAACACCCCGCAAAGATTAACGTTTTCCTATTTTCCTGTATGTATATATTGAAAATTGTAGTAGCTACAAATCAGTTTTGCAATGAAAACTTAATGGCATTGTATGATCCACAGAACTGTGCAATAAAAATGCTACAATTTTTCAATTTATTTATTTAGTTATTTGAACACCGAACTTTTAACAATATTATTGTATAATTTTATAGAGCGTCAAAAGTTATAGAATTTTGTTTGAAAGTAATGAAATAAATTTTTAATAATATTAATACACACTTTTGTAGAGCATGAAAGTCTATTAAATTTTCGTTATCGTACTTTTTTTATATTTACTATAGTTTTCAAGATATGCAGAAAAACAGGGAAACTCGCATTAACATTTTAAGGGGTGCTTTGACCCTGAAGAACCAAAAACCAGGCAGAATGACGTAATTGTTTAATAATTTTTAAATTTTGAAAATTCCAAACGAAGGTACAGTGATTCTTCGATGAATGCGACACAGGCAACGGCGTTATTCCCATAAGTAAGGGAATCTCCCTTTGGGAACAATCAAAACAGAGTAAATAGACTCTACGCAGAGGCTCGGCTTCGGGTAGAAGAACAAATTTATGAGAGACTGAAAACCTGTCCACCTTCCCATGAATGCTCCGAGGTGTACCAGAGTATGTCGCACTCATGGAGACATTACTATATTTTATATTGTAATGTTGATTTTAGCATACACTTGTCACCTCTCTGTCGTCGAATTTCGCTTTTGCTAATGGATCGAACAACCATTCTTTACTCGCGAAATGGTTCCTATGAAATTCTCTATTCATACAAGCATTTCTGGCTCAGTTTGTTAAGTACTACAAGCTGACAAAAATTTTTAACCAGTTTTTTACATTTCCAAAGAACAAATACAAGTATACAGGTACATATTTATTGTATAAAAGTTTATTTCTTTAACTTTATTTCCTCGAAATTCAGTCGTGAAGTTAATTCAGTTATGAAGTTATGTCGCCTCAATATCTTTCAACTTAATCAGCGTAAAAAGTGACACCGGCCGATTGCCGTAAGACCATTTAACGGGACGACGCCGCGTAGGCGTGGGGACTTTTTTTTCCTGGATCATTTGCTTGTTCCGCACCAGTCGTTTCGCCTCTCGTTGCGTGTGCACCCGTACAAGCTTCGTCATAAAGTCCAAGAGCAAGAACCTATTCAATGAACTTCGAAGGTCGTGTCGAATGCAACGACCCGAACGCGGGACCGACACAGAGAGCCACGCAACCGGCGATCGTAGAAATATTAATGTTCCGTCGTTGCACGCCACTCTAATTAGACTATCGTAAACGTGATAATTAAAGGGGGTAGAAGTGAGCGGAGTTCCGCGAGCACCGTGGTCACGGTTCACGTGCCCTTTATTCGAACAATACAGACGCGTTCCGTTAAGAATTTTCAGGAAACTCTTGAATATTATCAATTAAATCTTAGAAAACAGAAACTTCTTAACGGTGAAATGAATATAAAAATAAATACGTTGATGTAGACGTGACTTAAGATTAAATGATTCAATTGTTTTTTTTTTGAATCGTTAGAAAAAGGAGACATTTAATTTTTTAAAATTGCTGTAAGTGGAAGTATATCATTTAAAAATCGATAACTGATTTAGTACGGATATAATTTAACATAAATGAAAAAATAAAATTAAGTAAAATGGAGGTTTTTTCTCGATATATGCATTATGATCGAATATTACTGTTATGTTAGGAATAAAAAATACAATAGAAATTAACAAATATGCTTTCAACCCTCTATAGGCAATCTGAGTCGTTGACGATACCCAAGTAAAATCCCTTTTCCCCAGATGTTTCTCCGAATTTGTATATGTACATTTGTATCCGATTGTATAATGTAGTAGAGACTTTGATAAACTTTCCTGGAATTTTTTAGATTTTTCGAAAACCTAAAACAGTAAAAAATATTTGGCTTGGACATAAACGACTTAGTTTGCCCATGGAGTGTGAAAAGATATGTTTGCCAACAGAGGGTTAATATTTTTATAAAATCATAGTATATTTGTATTTTAATTTATTTCATTCGTTTAGAATGTAATCAATGAAATAAGAAAATACCTAAATTTGTTTTCTGTATATAGATTAAGACCAATCATTGTGAATGTTTAG